TGACGTGTCGTCGAGCGCCCTCCGGCGACCGTTATTATGTTCAAAACGACGGTTAACGGATATTTGTCAAATCCTCCACTGGATGTAATGTAATCTCTGGTTTAAAGTTGCTCACGCCGAACTTTCATGCGCGCTCAGTTCTCTCCGCATTGGATTGTGGGAAATAGGGCTTCAGCGAGTGTACATCGAATGTACACTCGAATTCAGAGAGGATTGTGGGTAAAAGTAGTGAATGAATGTAGGGAATGATGTCGTTCACTCAGAATTCGGACACCACTACAAAATGGCCGACACCCGATATAGTGCACTATATAGTGGATAGGGAGCGATTTCAGACACAGCTCTAGTAAAGTAGTTCTGGTGAAACTGCCTGTTTACCATTCGAAATGTATAAATAAATGCGCTGCCTACAACAGCTGTGAGTAACCATAGCAACAGGCAGTCAAACGCTCTATCAAAACAAACATCTAACGTTAGATACTAGGGCTGGGTAATAAATATCGATTTCTCGATATTAGTGTTGTCAAAAAACTCGGTACTTCGGTACCAAGTCGGTACTAAAAAAAAAAAATGTTACGGTACCAGCTTTTCTAGGTACCGAATACCAGGTTTAATCCAGTTCTAGACGCGCTGTCTGAAAGGTGCACAGTCGCGTCCTCTTCATAACGCTGATATGGCTCTCTCTCTCTCTGAATCCACTTGTTGACACGAAAGGAGGAAAGAGCCACATATGGAAATATTTTGGATTAGGCTAATGTCACGTTGCCATAAGAGGCCGATTACATGCAAATTCGCAATTTCAAATATAGGCGCGAGGCAAGCGCGCTCATAATAAAAACTCGTTGCATAGCAACGACAGACGCCGCATGAGAGCAAGCGCTTTGGAAAGAATAAGCACGCGCAAAAATATAATTAAAAAAACGCGTGCGATATGTGAACGGCCTCTAAAGTGGTTTCGGGGTCGTTTTACGAGTACATGAGCACAGTAGTATCCAACCGACACCAGAGTACTGGTATTAGTATCGATGCATCCCTATTATGTCATTTAATGTCAGTGCCAGTTCTAGGCGTATCCTTGCCTTTATAACTCAGCAGTTTTAAAAAGCCTTTTCAAAATTAAATATGAATGCAGTTTTAGATTAAATAAAAGTACAGTCAAATCAAATAAAACATGTTTTTTCTCCTGTAGCCTATAGTTTGGTAATGCTACAATAAGATACCATTTATCAACATTAGCTACTTCACATCAACACATTGAGTGAACAATATATTTTTACAACATTAATTAATGTTTGTAAATGTTATTTAATAGAAACACTTGATTGTTCATGTTTGTTCACTTCATTCATTGTGCATTAAATAAATGTTAACGGATTAGAACTTTACAAACAACTTTAAAAATGTGTTAGTGTATACTATTGTTTATTTTAGGTCATTTTATCTAATTTTTTTCTAAAGTGTTTATAATACAAATGTACAGTTTCCATACTTGTAACCGTGATAAACACTTAAATATATGTAAATTTAAACTAAGCTTTGGTACCGAAATTGGTACCGAGAACCGTGAATTTTTACTGGTATTGGTACCGAATACTGAAATTTTGGTACCGTGACAACACTACTCGATATTAATCGATTCTCATTTTTACGAACCGATATCGATTCTTAAGTCTCAAGAATAGATTAGTCATCCTGTTTCATTTGAATGAATGGGATATTGTATCGCGGGTGCGCGCATCCAAAAAATCGCAATAATCTTTGTCCTTTGTTACTATTGATATGAAACAAAGTCTCAATTTTCAAATTACGTCCATTTTCTTTAGAAATTCAAAAACATGAATAGAGTTTTGGCGCTGTGGCGTGAGATCGCTCTGGAGAAGCAGCAGCGCTGATCTCACTTCCTGGTTAATAATACCAGTTACAGCGCCAAATAAACATGAATGAGCGTCTGAAAGTGTGTTAAAAGATAGAGTACATTATACAAATCCGGATCATGTCACATTGATTCGCTCAATCAGCGTTTCAACCGTGGAAAGACGTCAGTTAAACAGCTTGTAATCAATGTCATCGTCATATTTACCTCAGAAAACCCACATAAACTCGTTAGTCAGCTAGAAAAAATAACTCTAGAGAGGAGCATTTCCCTAAATATATACACCATATTACATATGCATTATAATCTTAATGTTCTTCAATATGTAATGCATATTTGAATAAATCTGGCAAGTTTTTATGACAGCCACCATTTAAATGTTTATATATTTCATATAATCTTCTTATTATAAAAATAAATAAAAGTGTAATTTAAGTGATTCATTCATTATTACCTTCATATTAGGCTAATGAAGTCTATAGGCTACAACTAGACTCCCACAGTTTACAGCATTAGTTAAGAGATTTGATTCCCTTGAGAGAAATTGGCATTGTAACTGATATCCAAAATAATCAATATTGAATTGAATCGTAATCGAAATCGAATTGTGAAATTTGTCTCAATACCCAGCCCTATTAGATACTATAGCCTAATAATACAACAATGAGCGACTTCGTTATTTCTTTTAACATTTATGGAGAATATGGCAACTTTGACGACTGGTATGCTCTAGGTCGACTCTCTGATGCTGGACTGGAGAGCCGTCAAATAATGTCGTTGACAGGCCATCACTGCGAGAGCAGTCTGCGGGCTTAACGTTACTGGGCTCCATTTCTCCATGAGAGACGAAGCTGGAGCAACGTACACTGTAAAAATAAATATGCTTTATCTAATCAATAATATTGTGGCAACAGATTACAAGCAATATTATTTCTTAAATTGAACAAATTAGAATTGAGTAATAGTTAATCAAATTAACATTCTAATTAATTCTAATTTGTACAATTTAATTAATAATATTGCTTGTAATATGTTGCCACAATTTTATTGATTAGATAAGCATATTATTTTTTTCAGTGTACTGCCTGCATCAAGTGCCCATCATGGGCAGCAGTAACGTTACCCAGCTTTTGTGGATCCTCCTGACTGGCCGACTTTTTCAAATTGCGCTATAATTGGAAATGTTGAAATTAATTGTAAATAAAAAAGCTAGCATGTAGGCAAATTACCCTCTCTTTGATCTGATTAATTTATTGCCCTCTATAAGCGCAAATCGCTGGTGCTCAGAACTAATTGGTTTTTTTTTTTTGTGTGTGTTTTTATTATTTTTTTGTTTGATTAATTGTTTTATGTGGAATAAAAAACATTCATGAAAAAAAAAATGCATTTTTGAACCTGAAGGGTTCTACAAGCTGAGCGGACTATAAATATCTCCGGTTGCTAAATAAACCGTCAGGCAAGTTATTATTTGTAAAAACTAGATTTAGCCTAATTAAAATATAAACTAATGTTTTAAAAATGTTTTATTTGGCAAGTGACCATGGTATAAGCGGGTTAATGCCCTCCGAGGTGTCAATTGTCAGGTTTTAATGGACTTCGGTTTACGCCTCGCCGTCGTCCATTAAAACCTGACAATGGACACCTCGTCGGGTATTAACCCTTACATAATCATGTTATTTTACATGTGAGAAATGCTTCTATCGCTTGTTTCTGCTTCTCCTGTGTTTTGATTAGGAGATTCTGCCCTCTTTCAGTAGATGTGTAACAGCGCCCCCTACAGTATAACAGTGAGAATGCGGATACCTGTGAAACTGCGTCAGTGGCGGGAGAGAGTTAAAGAGTTAAAGCGCTTCTCACTGCAGGCTCAGATTATTCTCACTCCAGTCACTGGAAACACATGCTAGTCTGAACTCTTCAGTCACAGCAGAGCTCCTACTCCCACACACACACACACACACACACACACACACACACACACACACACACACACGGACGATGACATGCTTTCTGTCAGAGTTACACTGTCTTTATTTTTATAGTTGTAATCAATATTTGTGTTATGCAGACATACAGAAATGAACCGGTATTACAGGGATACATGCGTTACATTTATATACAGTATAATCTACCGTAGATCTTTTTAATGTTTTTGACAGAAGTATCCAAAGCTGCTTTAAAATAAATAAAAAAAATCCAGTAAAAACAGTGAAACATTATTACGATTGAAATAATTGTTTTCTATGTGAATATTTAGTCAAGTGTAATTCATGCAGCTTTGGTGAGCAGAAGAGACTCTTAAACATAAACAATCTGATTCATCATAGCATTAAAACACGAATGACGTGTTCATATCCATCTTGTAGTCGGTCAATAGAGCCGTGGCTTTCGCTGGACTGATCAGGGTTGGGGGAGGCCGACTGAAGAGTCATGTGACCGTCCGAATGAGCTTATAGTTAGTAACGGAGTTTGATATGGAAGAGCTTAGCAGTGAAACACACTCCCGGGATCCATATGGCTCATAGATACAGTGCGATGGGAAAGACTCTCCATGGAAAGACCAATGTAATGCAAACCAAAGCTAAAGATCCTGCCACGCGATGTGAGTGTGTCCCGCTGGACTCATTTCTCACTGTTTGGGTGTATTCGTAGTGTTCTGCTGAAGCACAGATAGTGGCTCGATTGGGGGATTTACAGGACAGGTTTCATGCGAGTGTTGGATCGTCTGAGGCAGCTCTCCTTAGAAGGTTATGATTTTTGTGGTTAAAATGTACAAATTGAGTCTTTTGAAATTATATTTTACAGGCGTATTATTACCCAAACCTGATTAGACAGGAATACGTGCTTAAAAATGTAGATACGGTTGAAATAAAAAATAAATGGGAAAATCTTTTCCACTTTCTCCTGAAAGCTGAGGGGAACTTCAAAAGTGTAAACGAGATTTTTTTAAGATTGAAATTTAACTTTAATGTAAGTAATTGTGTTTTTTTGTGGATTCATTTCTCTCTGTTTGGTTGTATTTGTACATTGATTTGCTGAAGCACAGATAGTGGCTCGATTGGGGGGGCATGTGTTGGATTGTCTGCTAATGTCCATTTATTTGTTTGTTTTGTCTCTCTGTCCTCTCTAGTCGATGCTGATGAGATTAAAAGGCTGGGAAAGAGGTTTAAGAAACTCGACCTGGATAACTCGGGATCGCTGAGTGTGGAGGAGTTCATGTCTTTGCCCGAGTTACAGCAGAACCCACTGGTGCAGAGAGTCATCGATATATTCGACACGGACGGCAACGGAGAGGTGGATTTCAAAGGTGAGGCCTCCATTACACAGACGAGAAAACATTCGATCGCACGGCGAACTGAATGCATTGTTTATTTAAAAGTGGAAACCTGTTGTTCATACGTGAAATCAATCTCGTGAAAACGTGCTGGTAAAAGATAATTGTGACTTTTTATCCCACAATTGCATTATATAGTCAGAGTTGCGTGATGTAAAGTCAGAGTTGCGTGATGTAAAATCAGAGTTGCAAGATATAAAGTCAGAAATGCGAGATATAAAGTCAGAGTTGCGAGATATAAAGTCAGAGTTGCAAGATATAAAGTCAGAATTGTGAGACAAAGATTCCGAGTTGCGAGATATAAATTCCGAGTTGCGAGATATAAATTCCGAGTTGCGAGATATAAAGTCAGAGTTGCGAGATATAAAGTCAGAGTTGCGAGATATAAAGTCAGAATTGCGAGATATAAATTCCGAGTTGCGAGATATAAAGTCAGAATTGCGAGATATAAAGTCAGAGTTGCGAGATATAAAGTCAGAGTTGCGAGATATAAATTCCGAGTTGCGAGATATAAAGTCAGAATTGCGAGATATAAAGTCAGAATTGCGAGATATAAAGTCAGGGTTGCGAGATATAAAGTCAGAGTTGCAAGATATAAAGTCAGAATTGTGAGACAAAGATTCCGAGTTGCGAGATATAAATTCCGAGTTGCGAGATATAAATTCCGAGTTGCGAGATATAAAGTCAGAGTTGCGAGATATAAAGTCAGAGTTGCGAGATATAAATTCCGAGTTGCGAGATATAAAGTCAGAGTTGCGAGATATAAAGTCAGAGTTGCGAGATATAAAGTCAGAGTTGCGAGATATAAAGTTAGAATTGCGCGATATAAAGTTAGAATTGCGAGAAATAAAGTTAGAGTTGCGAGAAATAAATTCTGAGTTGAGAGATATAAAGTTAGAATTGCGAGATATAAAGCCAGAATTGCGAGATATAAAGTTAGAATTGCGAGAAATAAATTCCGAGTTGCGAGAAATAAATTCCGAGTTGCGAGATATAAAGTTAGAATTGCGCGATATAAAGTTAGAATTGCGAGAAATAAAGTTAGAGTTGCGAGAAATAAATTCTGAGTTGAGAGATATAAAGTTAGAATTGCGAGATATAAAGTCAGAATTGCGAGATATAAAGTTAGAATTGCGAGATATAAAGTTAGAATTGCGAGATATAAAGTCAGAATTGCGAGATATAAAGTCAGAATTGCGAGATATAAAGTCAGAGTTGCGAGATATAAAGTCAGAATTGCTAGATATAAAGTCAGAATTGCGAGAAATAAATTCCGAGTTGCGAGAAATAAATTCCGAGTTGCGAGATATAAAGTCAGAGTTGCGAGAAATAAAGTCAGAATTGCGAGATATAAAGTCAGAATTGCGAGATATAAAGTCAGGGTTGCGAGATATAAATTCCGAGTTGCGAGAAATAAATTCCGAGTTGCGAGATATAAAGTCAGATTTGCGAGATATAAAGTTAGAATTGCGAGATATAAAGTCAGATTTGTGAGATATAAAGTTAGAATTGCGAGATATAAAGTTAGAATTGCGAGATATAAAGTCGGAGTTGCGAGATATAAAGTCAGAATTGTGAGATATAAAGTCAGAATTGCGAGATATAAAGTCAGAATTGCGAGATATAAAGTCAGAATTGCGAGATATAAATTCCGAGTTGCGAGATATAAAGTCAGAATTGCGAGATATAAAGTCAGAGTTGCGAGATATAAAGTCAGAATTGCGAGATATAAATTCCGAGTTGCGAGATATAAAGTCAGAATTGCGAGATATAAAGTCAGAATTGCGAGATATAAAGTCAGATTTGCGAGATATAAAGTTAGAATTGCGAGATATAAAGTCGGAGTTGCGAGATATAAAGTCAGAATTGCGAGATATAAATTCCGAGTTGCGAGAAATAAATTCCGATAAAGTCAGAGTTGCGAGATATAAAGTCAGAATTGCGAGATATAAAGTCAGAGTTGCGAGATATAAAGTCAGAGTTGTGAGATATAAAGTCAGAATTGTGAGATATGAAGTCAGAATTGCGAGATATAAAGTCAGAGTTGTGAGATATAAAGTCAGAATTGCCTTTTTTATCTATTATTCTGTGGTGGAAACAAGCTTCCATTCATTACACCCCAGGAAAAATTCAAACAAATATTTATGTGTTCATTAAGCCAATTTTTTAAGTTTTTAAAAAATTGCTTTGTGATATTTTCATGACAATTTTCAACACATTTAAGCTATTTTACATGATTCTGTCTCACAGGTGATTTGGACTAGATTCCCTTTACAGTATTATAGTAAAAAAGGTAGATTAATGCAAAACATTTTGTTTAGTTTAATTCGCAATTCTGACTTTATATACACCAGCATAAATGCAATATAACAAATACATATTACATTTAATAACAAAAAAAATTATTGAAATAATGTATATTTTCTCCGTACAATACATAGATTTATTCATTCAGATTGCTTTTATCTAAAGTGACTTACAATCGATATAAGAATTAGCGAATTATTTTATTAAATTACATTTTTTAAGTCATGTGATGTCACATAAGTCCTGATTTTCTTAAAATAGGGTTTAATTATGTTGTGGCATGTATCATTTTTGATTGTGCACTGAAATATGACAAGTTTAGTCAAATTAACTCATTGTGCCATGTTATTATTTTAATGCATTGCATTTTTAAATCCAAGAATTTGTCCTTTTTTCTGAGAATATTGCATGCAGAAATGTGTGCATGTCCTCAAACTGTGAAATACTTCATCAAATGAGCTTAAAGTAGCTCAGACCTGTTGCATCACAGTTTGAAAAGAAGCCCTTTGTGTCCTTTGCCAAGAACATTCACATTCCTTCTCGCTGATCTAGAGCTGCATTATTCTGGATGAATTGAAATGTTTGGTTTCAGGTATAGATTCTGAACAGACAACAAAACAGAATAGCAAAAGAGATTCTGACACAATATTAGTTGCTGCAGTCTATCTAAAAAATATTGACTCTTCTGCTACACACTCAAAAGTATCTACTTTTTCTACACACACTAAAAAAAAACACGTATTATAAGTAGGCGAACTCGGATGCATTATCAGTGTTTTGAACGATTCTCGAGTGAATGATTCAATGACTCACTCGTAAAGACTTCATTTGTTTTATTACTGGATGAATCAGTGATTTTGAACAAATCTCTTGAATGATTTATTCAATGATAGATACATTTTTAACAGTCACCCGTCGCCACCTACTGGTGTAACGATGTAACTGATACAATCTTTATTTCAAGCGTCAAGTTACTTTCAAAAGGTGATTTACTCTATTTTTATCACTTCTTTAGACATCAGTGTTTATATCCGAACTATGAACATTTATCCAAGTACTTTTATGATTATACGAATGATATTGTAAATATAATGATACTGTGGTGTTGAAAAACTGTTTATGAAGCGGTTTCATATCTATTCATGACAACGGCACAGATCTGAATGTTTCTGTGACTTATCAAAGTTTTAATAGAGAGCCGAATCTCTTGTTTAGGAATCAGATCGTGTGTCATGATCTGTTAATGGATCATGCAGCTCTTCTACATTCTTAATTTGTATCAAATGATCTCTTTATCGTCAGCCCAGAGCTCATCAGTCGCTTTTAATAAAACACGCGTTCTTTATCACCATGATATTCCAGCAATAACAAGTGTTACAGGATTAATACTCTCTGGTTGCTCGTTCTCTAGAGTTCATCGAGGGCGTCTCTCAGTTCAGTGTGAAGGGTGATAAGGAAATGAAGCTTCGCTGTGAGTATGAAAGCACTTCGCATCTCTTCTGTACATCGTCACGTCCAACAATCACTGACCCGCGCCGATTCTCTCAGTCGCTTTCAGGATCTACGACATGGACAAGGACGGCTACATCTCCAACGGGGAGCTGTTCCAGGTGTTGAAGATGATGGTGGGCAACAACCTGAAGGACACGCAGCTGCAGCAGATCGTGGACAAGACCATCATCAACGCAGACAAGGACGGGGACGGGAGGATATCCTTCGAGGAGTTCTGCGCTGTGAGAAAACTTCATTACAACTTATGTATTTTGAACAATTTGTTTGTACGGGTGAAACTCGAAAAATTTGAATATCGTGCACAAGTTCCAAAATTCAACTTAAAAGGTGAAACTAATATATTATATAGACACATTACATGTAAAGTTATGTGTTATAATTGTGATGATTATGGCGTACAGCTTATGAAAACCTCAAATTCAAAATTTTAATATTGTGAAAAGTTTTTCATGTCTGTAAGCCATAATCATCAACGTTAGAACAAATAAAGGCTTGAACTATCTCACTTTACATGTCTATTAGTTTCATCTTTTAAGTTGAATTACTGAACTTTTGCACTATATTCTAATTTTTCGAGTTTCACCTGTGTATAGACCATTTCACAAGATGTAAACAACACTGGTCCAGAAACACTTCCTGTTTCAGTTTGTAACTGTTTTCTTTATTTCACATGTAAAGAAAACACCTTAAAGATGTTTGTTTAACTTTTTGATTCAGTTTTAAATGTTCTGTTGGTTGTATTTTATCCCAGCTTTTTTGTAGTGTTAAAAAACTGAAACAGGAAGTGCTTCTGGACCAGTGTTGTTTACATCTTGTGAAATGGTCTATATCTTTTTAATATTTTATTTTAACTTTTAAGTATAAACTCAAAATAGACTTGCATGTAAAAAAAAAAAAAAGTCTCGAAATTGCGAGAAATAACAGTTTATATCTCATGGTTTTGACTTTATAATTCACAATTGCAAGTTTATTTCTACTGAGCTCCAACAGTTTAGTAAATCATGGCCATGTTGAACTAATTTGTTCGCTCATTTTGATTTAACTAAAACAATAGAATTTAGTTTTGACCATGTGGCCACAAGTAACATAAAAAAGGAAACGAGTTAGTAAAACACACTGACGTATTAGTAAATCATGGATGAAGTAATTCATGGCCACAACATACATATTTATTGTCCAAACGTTATATATCTCTTTATAAAATGGTTAGTTCCAATCCTTGATTCTGATTGGTCAATAGCTGTGCTTTATTCACGATAAAACACGGCTGTGACCGTTTTATCCAACGGTTTTCACTGCGCAACATTGCAGTTTCTATGTTGTGTTTATTTGAGCTTTCATGCATATTACACACTAGAGCGTTGTTGCAGTTCACAGTCAGGGACTATTTTTACTATTTTACTTCATGAAAGTTGCACTAAGAATTTTTTTTTACTTCAATATTTGTATTGTGTGGTAACCGTTTTATAAAAGCAATAAGGTACTCGAGGCAAGTGCTGTATCGTGAATAAGTAACGGCTGTATAACTTGAGCCTAACAACGCCGTCAGTCGTTACTTAGTCACGATACAGCACAGCCTCTTGTACCTTATTGCTTACGTGTAGCCTTTGTCATTATTAATGTAAATAATCTTAAATGAGTTGTTTTTAAGGGCATTTATACGACAACGATCTACTGAAGTTTTTCCTTTGCGTCTTTCACGTACAGACAACAACGTCCCCCTTTAACACAGATCTGCAAAACTGACGAACATTTCGGATTTTTCGGAAAAAATTTTTCCGGTATATTAAAGCTGATAAATAGTGTATTATTTCCTTCAGCTAAGACACTTCAGATGCGCACTGTTCAACATGATGGTTTTGAATTGCTTGAAATACAATTGCAATCACAATATGAAGCAAAATAATGTTTAGTGCAACATGTGTCATAAACTTTTAATGAGAACATCATTATAATTGTGTGTGGGACATGACATTTAATGATGAGACACTTGTTTTTGTAATCAGGCTCTCAAAATTAGAAAAAATATTTTGGATTTTAGATTTGTCGAGACATTAGATTTGGCTTTCAAATATAAAGGATAATCGGTTATCGGCTTTCAAATATAAAGAATTGTCTGCTTTCAAATATAAATACTTATCGGTTATCAAATAAAAAAAATCGGTTATCGGCTTTCAAATATAAAGAATAATCGGTTATCGGCTTTCAAATGTAAAGAATAATCGGTTATCGGCTTTCAAATGTAAAGAATAATCGGTTATCGGCTTTCAAATATAAAGAATAATCGGTTATCGGCTTTCAAATGTAAAGAATAATCGGTTATCGGCTTTCAAATGTAAAGAATTATTGGTTATCGGCTTTCAAATAAAAAAAATCGGTTATCAGCTTTCAAATATAAAGAATAATCGGTTATCGGTTTTAAAATGTAAAAAATTATCGGTTATCGGCTGTCAAATGTAAAGAATTATCGGCCTTCTAATATAAAGAATTATTGGTTATCGGCTTTCAAATATAAATAATTATCGGTTATTGGTTTTTAAATAAAAAAAAAAATGGTTATCGGCTTTCAAATATAAATAATAATCGGTTATCGGCTTTCAAATGTAAAGAATTATCGGTTATCGGCTTTCAAATGCAAAGAATTATCGGTTATCGGATTTCAAATGTAAAGAATTATTGGTTATCGGCTTTCAAATATAAAGAATAATCGGTTCTCGATATTAGCCAAAATTTTCATATCGG